CCGCGGCGCCGCTGGGGGCGGATCGCTGGGGAGCCGCGGAGATCGGCTTCCACGCCGGGGTCTGGCGGCGCTGCCGGAGCCGCGCAGCTCTCCAGGCTCTCCGCCGTGCATGGCAAACCTCGCAGCTGGGAGAGCCCGGCTGGACCCCGGGCTTTCTCGGAACGACACTTTCGGAAAACCTGCATGGGGAAGGGGCAACCCCAGTGCACCTCGCCCGGCTCCGGCCGCGGTGTGGGCGGCGGGCTCGGCCTCCGGGGGAATTCTGCAGGGGAACTGGCCGTTTCCAGATCGTCTCCCCCGTCTCTTGCTCCTGCTCTTCCCGCGGCGCTCAGCCGGGCAGGGAAGGGTTACCGGGCCCCTGGGTCTGGTGGAGGCAGCAGACGCGGTGCCGGCCACCCCGGCTGACTTTCCGTAATGCGCTCCGGTAACTTTCCTGGAGTTGGGGCAGCCCGAGCCGGCTCGGCCGCGGGCCCAGGCGCCCAGGGCACCGCGGGCTGCAGCTCCGGGCTGAGCCTCCTGCCCTGCCGCCTCCCGCCTCGCCGGCCTTTCCCACTGAGCCTGAGCGAGGAGCGCGCCTTCCCAGACGTTTCTTGCAGCTGAATTCAAGGCCTTTTTTTTTTTTCTTGAAAATGTTTAAAAAATGTCGCTTTCAAGAAAAGCTAATCTTTATTTGCAGAAGGAAATCGCTGTCCGCAGCTATAATGAAAATTAATCACTCAAATGAGTGAATACTGATGGATATAGGAAAGCTCAAGTTGCTTTGGAATCCAGAAAAGCATATTATTGTAACCAGTTTTGGAGTCCACACAGCTTCAGAACACTGACGTACAGAAGGACTGACTGACTGAAGAGATGTATATGGCTGTATGTAAACGTGTTAAATAGGTTAATGAAATCTCCCTTCATACCCTCTTAACACTTCAGCATCCTAATTGTGTTAGCTTTTCTATTTAAAGCCAATTCATGAACTTTTAAGCCTTTAGACATTCAAATGCACTGAAATAAGAGAGACATAATTGGTAAAACATAAAAATATTGTACTTTGCACATTTTAATCTTTTGGAGAAAGGTATTAAATGCTTTTTCGAGGGTTTGTTGACAGATTATGAAATGTACATAGATCTCTCTATGGGTTTAGCATGGCAATCTTCTCCATGGTGTGTGAATTCATTGAAAGGCAACTCTTCAATGTCATTTGAAGCACACTTACCCTCCAGTACTTATTTTGGAAATTCCAGACCTTCTTAGAAGATAAGTCTTACCAACTTCCTACCTGGCTTTGTGTGGTGTTTCCATTTCATTCTGAATTAAAGGCATGGAATTTGCTTTGTGAGGTAAAATAACAAAATGTAAAACTTTTTTTCTCCCAGGAGTTCTAAAGTGGCAAAGTTAGGCATTTCCTGTTTCTGCAGACTTTGTGTCATCTTTTCTAAGATGAGTAAAATAGCAAGGCACAGTTTTCACAAGCCCAGTTGTGTGTCTTGAGAGAGCTTAGAAGCTAGGCTACTGCTTTTTATGCTGACATAAGTCACATGGTTGCTGGGCAGGCGGGGCCCAGAAGAATGGCTGTTCTGTGTTTGAGTACATCCTTGTCCCTCATCCCAGACTCACAGTCCAACAATATTTAATATCTTTTTTTTTTCAAAGTTTACATTAAGGAAAAGATGACAAAAATAGAGCATGTTAAAAGATAATAGCAAATAAATCATGCAGGTAGATGGGAGGTAGGCTGGACTGTCTCTTTGTAGGATACTAGAATATAGGACTCTGGTCTAAAAGTAGAGGGAGAATTTGAATTACGTGCAGGGGAGGCTTTGGAGAGTTAATTTGCATATTTCGAAGTCGTGGAACCAGAGGTCATGGCATGTGCCACCGCACCAAAATACAGAAGCTAGCGAGTGTGCCTTTCGAGTGGCTGGACAGCACTTTTCTGTCACGAATAATCAATAATCAATACTTTCTCATTACATTCTCTTCTGGTGGTGAGAATGCGAAGAGAGGAACTTTGACTAGCTTTGGGTATCCTATACTTTGATTCTATGAGCAGTTCTTAAACAAAACTTTGGTAAACTTTGTAGGTCGTAAATCCATTTGGAAGGCAATAATAAAGGAAATAAATATATATAAAACTGTACACCACAAAGTTTTTTAAAGCTCTAGCCAGTAAATAAAGAAAGAGTAAGACAAAAAGTTAAATAAATTCTCTCCCTGAGTGGTATTAAGAAACCAGAAGAGTTCACTGAAAAATTAGTTACATTTGGTTCTATCTCCTCCAAATACTTATACACATTTTGGGTCATGATTATTAAAAAGTACATGGTGGATTGTTAATGGTACTTATTCGGCATCAGAGTAACAGAGAATGTGGTAGTTTTGGTTAAAGAAATGGCAGCTCTAAATTAGCCCTGAAAATTGTAAGCATGGTTTCTAACATAAGTAACAAGAAATAGGATTGGATTTCCCAATTTATCCCGGTGAGAAAGCTGATGTTGCAGTCACTTGGACTTTGCTGGGCGGCTTTACCTGTTCCTAGACAGGCTTCCATGGGTCCCACTTGGCCTAACATTCGGGGAGAGCTAACACCTGTGTTGAAGCTCCCTTCTACAACTGTGAGACAACTGACTGCATTAAATGTTGCTTTACATTATCTTAATTTTTTTAAAGGAAATTTCCACACACTCTTAATTGGAAGCAAAATTCGAAAGGCCACTGGTTTTCAGTGACTTGAAGGTTGCTGCTCGGTGTCACAAAGCACCAATCTTTCATCTCTTTTGCTTTACTGCGAAATGCAAACAGACATCACCAACCCAACTATCTATGAATGTAAACTTCAATTTTAATATCTCAAATTTGCAAAGCCCAAAACAGTAAAATATTAAATTAGTGAATGTGATAGATCTAAGGTATCCTTTATTACATTTTAAAAGATCACTTAAAACATTTGTTTTAATTATGTGTTTTATTTTATTTATTATTATTTCAAATTTGACCAGAGAGAGAGACACAGAGAGAGAAAGAGAAAGTGAGAAAGCAAGCCACCAGGTCCAGGACTTGAGCCACGGTCAGCCATGTGGGAGTCCAGCACCTTCACCACCACTCTGCCTGCCAGCTCCATAATTCAAAACATCTAGAGGTGGTTAACCTCTTAATCTTATGGGATAGCAACATTCCCAACTGTTCTTAACAGTAACACATTTGGGTACTTTTGTTCTGTTATTAAGGAATCATGTTGACACGGGTAAATATTAATCTATTACTAGAAAGGATGTGAATTTTCTCTGCCTTCAAGTGTCCCTCCCAACGAAGAAAGGAAAAAATAAACAAGAACCCCCCTACACCCATTTGGTAGCAAATCTCTGTTAATGAGAAAAACTGCCAAGGGTAAGCTTAACTGAAGTAAATCACTCCAGGCATTTGAAATGATGAGACATTAAACTTTGGGGGATTTTTATATGAATTCTTTTATAACAGTCAATATAATCTCTTCTGTAGCTATTTCCGTTGCATGTAAGAGAAAGCCTAGTCAATGGTCACCCCTTTACTGCCACCATTACTGCAGATTTTATAGATCAGGGATGTGTCAGCATTGTTAGCTTTAGCAGTAATGCCTCTTTTGTGAGAAACCTTATGGGCCTTGCAGGCACTCTCTCATCCTGACACTCATAAAACGTTCAAGTCCCCATATTTATTATTTAATTTTCTTCCTATATATAGCAATGGAGCACTTCAATGTATGAATGGGTAGCCCAAAAGTGACAGGCAAGCGTGAATAGGACTAATGGGTTTTAATAATATACATATCAGGGACTGCTAAAGGAAGTTTAATTAAGAAAAACAAGTTGAGCATGAAATTCATTTTGGAACAAATGCAAGTTAAGTTACTACTACGGATGTAAAATCAAAACCACAGTGATACATCCCAGGGAAGAAAGTTCCAGGCTGAGCCTAGACCCGTTTAATGCAGTTGAGCTCTTACGAGTTAGCTTTCAATGGATGATGTGAAAAAATAGAGTGATGACTTATAGAATAGAATAATATCTATTTTTTAAAAACAATGATTTTATTTTTTCTGGTTTTTATGGAAATTTTAGTTTAGTATTTGACCATGTATCCAGACACATCTTTTGTTCATGACATTAATTCTCTTGTGACAAGGCGCACAGTAACTTTTTCTATAGCCTACTTTTTAGACACTATATATGCCTGTAAATAGAGGTACCTGCTAAAGTCTTTGCTGCCCCTGTAAGTTTATTGTAAGTGGCACTAAAATAAGATCTGTATATTCATCGATTTATCCATAGCTATAATTCTGTTTACATTTTTGCATAATTTAGAAAATAAGTAGATTTACTTATTTGGTTGTTTATTCAGTAATGGCAGTAGGAGAGCAGAAGTTGGGGAGGAGATAGAATATTGAACAAATATTTTCTTAAATTTGATTTTCTTACATTTTTCCTGTACCTAAATAACATAGATACATTCTGAAAAGAGTGAAGAAGTCAGGCAATAATACGAATGTCCTATTTCTGATCCTTAGCCACTATCTTTTTGGAAACATCCAGTTAGCATACTGAGTCGTTCTTTGTCTAGATCTTTGGCATCCACTGCGTGTAACATCATGACTTCTCATTCCTCTTTGACTCACCCAATGAATGTTGGGGCTTCAAGAAAAATAGAAAAGAGGTTAATCATGTTCATTATAATATTCGAAAATGAATTGAAAATTGTTGTTGCTTTTTAAAAGAATGGTCACGGTTAATACTTTTATATGGTCATACGAAATACACTAACTATGCTTTGAAATTAAACAAGATCCAGAATGAAATCAAGGAGTATTGATTAGATTTTTTAAAAAGCTGTGATTATCACTAGTGTAAGTTTTCTCCATAGGACAACTGCC